TGAGTCTGTCTTTTTGTGTGTGTCAGCGTGCGCAAGCAAGCGTCTGTGTTTATACTCAGGTTATTGAATTTCAGCTTGTGTGCCAGGGTGCGTGTACCATTTTGTGTGTGCCTACAGTTGTACAGTTTGTTTAATGTGTGTACAGTTGATTTGTGTGTGTGTTTGATGCTGCACAGTTACTCGTCCACTTTCCAAAATGACAGCGAGACACCTGAAGGCATCTATCTGGAACTAATGGACAGATTGTTGAAAAAGGGAGAGAGAGTGAAAGAGAGAATGGAGGGATGATGGAAAGGTGGCGAACAAGACAGAAAATAAGGATTGTAAGGATGTAAGACGAAAGGTATGAGAAAGAAGTGAAGGACAGGAAAAGGAAGGAGGAGAGAGGGAGTTAGAAATGGAAAGAGAATTTCAGGAGAGGTGGACAAAGGAAGGAAAAAGAGAAGGGCGGAAGAATAATTTAGGAAAATGGCGATATAAAGGTAGGAGACTGATAAAGATGGAGGGAATAAAATTGTGGAAGGGATGTCGGGGGGATCGTACATAAGGAGAGACAGAATGGAAGATGGGTGGAGGTCAAGAAAAAGAAGGGATGAATGATTGAAATGATGACTAGGGAGTGGAGGAGTAAGATGAAAAGATGGAGAGAAAGAGGGAAAAGAGAGTGGAATAGAGGGGGAGGAATGATTTAAGGATGTGAGACAGGAGGGGAGAGAAGGGAAGAGAGATGTGAGGAAATAGAGAGGGAGCATAGAAACATGGAGGTGTAAGGGCAGTAGGAGCGAGTGATGGATAAAAATGGCAAGTGAGGAAAAAGAGTGACATGAGAGAGATGTGAGGAAGGAAAGGGGAATAAAGGATTAAGGAAGAGACAGGGGAAGGGGAAAGGTGGCAGGACAGGAAAAGATGGAGGGGTGAAAAGGTGAGGAAGAGGGGGAGGAAACGAAATCTGTTACAGAAGGGAGAGAGAGAGGGGGAGGGAGAAAGTGATAAGAAAATAAAAAGGAAAGAAACAGAGAATCAGAGCAACCCAGAGTGGGGGGGGGGAAGAGAGAAAGAAGTGATGTGATTGGTGGCCTCGTAAACGTGTCTCTCACTGCAGATAAAGATCATTTCACCAAAGGTCTCTGTTCTGTTAATAGGAGACACAGCAGAGTGGAGAGGTCAGCTGTGTGTGCGACTGACCAATGAAAAGCTGCCTTGGATATTAAAAAAAAAATAGCAGCTAAACTAGCTTCTGAAATCAATACAAACTGCATGACTTCGGTGTCACAGTGTTGTTATTAGGGATTTCATAACAAGAAATAACAGTAGGGGACAGGAGAGCTTCACAACAGCCATGTACACAAACAAATATTTATATTAAAGACTTTCATAGTCAGAAAGACACTTCTAAATAAAAAAAAACAACTGTTAAGTGAAATATAACATTTGTTTAGACATGCGTTCTTTGTCCATGTAATCAGTTTATGGCTAAGAAGATGTAGTGGAGTGTCTTTAAACACATTGAAGAGTTACCCAACCTCTTAATCCAACATAACTGATCATTTTCCTCAGAATGTATTTGAATAAAACCCTTTTCCTTTATTTGATAGGAGACAATTAAGACAATGTGAGGAGAGAGAGAGAGAGAGAGAGATGATTTATGTCTCAGATCGGCAGCCTAAAAACAGGTCCTAAATGAACTGAGTTTGGTTTAAAGGTTCAAAGGTTTGGTGTCATAACCACTGGTGTTTCTGGACCGTTACCCAAATACAGACATAAAGTTGCATTAATCATTTTCCTTTCAATCACTTGCAGTCAGAACTCGACCAAAAGCTAAAAACGTTTGGCATATTTTGTCATGGCATTTGAAAGTTGAAAGAGCAAATATGTTAACTATTGCCTATGTACACAGCCAGCAGAGACAAAGCAACAGTAGTGTTCAGTTTGAGTTGTATGCCCACATGATGAATTTAAAATCTCCTTTTAGCTCTGGTTTGGTCTCCACCAACCAGCTTCCAAATGTTCCACTTTCTTCACCAGCTAGTCGCTAACGACTGTCTCGTATTGCTGGAATCAGGGTTGATGAGAGCGCTTTCCCCTAAAATCTTGTCTGTATTTGGGTATGGGTCCGCTGCGCCGCGGTTGCCGGAGCTAATCGCGGTAATTCTTGTTAATGCTTGTGAGTCCATCAGTCGCCGCCGCAGCGCTTCCCAGAAGCGGCTCTCCGCAGAGAATCCTTAGCAGGTCTATTTTGACGGAAGCTGCGTGAAGCAGCATAGAGCAGATCAAATCAGGCAGGAGTCAGACACAGAACTGCATAGAGAATCCGGTCAATTTTCAAAATAAAACACCCTGTGGAGACTCCCGATCGTAAAACGGCAATAATACACAAGGTTAAAATGGACACGCAAAGAAGCCATTTAAATACATAGGAAAACAAAAAGCAAACACTGATTACCAAATCAACAAAATCTAAACATGTCAGCAAAATCAGGCAGACAAAACGCTCAGATTCTGAAATGCTCCTTGTGGGAAATGCACCCTGAAGTTGACGGAACGAAACGGGGTCACAGAGAGCCGTGAAGAAGGTAGTAGAATCACATAAAGGACAAATTAATAACAAGTCAGTAACGTCGGCAGGCTGCACGCTGCGCTGCTGAAAGACTTCTGAGATGCTTTGATGCCAGGCTGAGGACGGATCAAAACCGTGGCGCAGCCGTAACGTGCCGGAGTCAGTGGATTCCTGGTGCTATACTGAAACCAAAATAGTAAATGGGCTTCATAACAAAACAATGAGCTTAAGAGGCTTAAAAGCCCCTCCCAGCTGAGAGAAACTGCAGAGTGGGTGGCAATTCTTTGGTTTTGCCACTATAAGTGACATCGTTACAGTTTAACCCATTGTTTTATCAGCTTTAATGTCCTTAAAAACCCCTAAAGAAATTGATAAAATTCATCATGTTGAACTTTCATTTACCCCTAAAGAGAAATCAGTTTGAAACATCAGATTTAAATTTGGGACAGGCTGATTTATTCACCCAAGAATTATTTTAGTTAAAAATCCGTTTTACTGTGAAATCATCATACAGCAAATACTTAAACTCTAATAATCCACATGTTTCTTTTACGTTGACTGAAAGTTGATATAAGTGCTGTGTTGAGTCAGACTCTCTGTCTCTTGAAACCTGTTTAAACCTTGTTGTATAATCAGTAAAGTACACCAACCGCACTGAGAACAAACCTGCCTTTCTTCTTGCAGATGGCTGCGTTCTTTTTATCCTTTGTTTTTTTCACGGTCTTCCTCCCTGACAGCAGGGCTATGTTTCCTAGTCATGCATCAAGAGATCAAATCTAAAAGTAATACAATCTCTGGACTTACATCTCGGAGGTTTAATTTGAAAACCAACTCTCTCTGCCTTCTCCCGTAGCTTTAAAACTGAAATAAGTTATGCTGGCGGTGCCCTCGCTTCACCCTCTGACAAGAACAATAGCGGCCGGCTCGCCTCAGAAAACTGTGTTTTACAATAATACTCGTCCACAAAGCAAGACCGACAATGTCAATGGTTTTATGGTGCGCTACACAGTGCAGCTAATGTTCTCCTGCAAGCCAGCATCGCTTCACTGCCTCTCCCTCGCTCTCTCCTCCTCCTCTGTCTCTCCCGGTGTCTCTCGCCCTCTTTCCTCCTCCTATTTTTTTCACTTCTCCTCTCCTTTATTCTCCTCAGCTCTCCCTCGCTCCCTCTCTCCGTATGAAAAATCCATTCCGGCATGGGTTTTGACAGTCTGTCTTTGGTGGGTGTGTAAAATTCAAATAATTCACTGTGCATAGACAGTCACTCTGGGGCCGCTTTGTATTTTTGTATTTGACTCCGTGTCACTTCGAGTCCCACTCGGCAGGTTTTAGCTTTTCAGAAAAATGAAACACCAAACTAGAGGTTTATTTTATTTTTATTGAATATTTCCAAAGGCAGGAGCTTTTTTAGTTGACCAGCCTCGGTGGCAGGTACATCTCAAATATCTCGATACACTTTTACCAGCCAACCAAATTTTATTTTGTCCGTACTGCCTAAATAGAAGTTTTATTCCTGGACCAGGACAAAATAATGTTGTTTCATTGCCTCCTTAGGTTTAAGTTCTTGGACTTCAGTGCGGTTTAAAAAACAGGGATCCAAGTAAAATTTATGCAGGGGCTCATTTTATCCTCTTATTCCATCTAATGTACTGTATGTTCCAGCCTGTCCTCACCCAAAGACCTCTAGTGGCAAAAGAAATCAGGTGATGTAGTTTAAAGAGCGACAAAGTCCAGGAGCAGAGGTGCTGGGTGGATGGATGAGTGAAGTGAATTTCGCTAAGAAAAACTAAGATGACATGTTCAAAGTTAACAATTTTTCTCCTCTTAGCAAGTCAGTTCATCCGTATTCAAAGCCAAGACCCAAAAACTCTATTTAAGTAATTGTGCATCATTTTATGAACATTTTCTCTAAATTCAGCCTGACATATTTGGCATCTTTGGAAGCTTTTGGATCTCTACTAGAATAAAAATGTAAGTTCTTTGTTTTGACTGATCCACTGGTACTTATTTACGGGGGTGTTTCAATCAAGGATCAGGCTGCTGGTTTCCCACTGTTTGAGGTCTTACAGTGAACTGGTAAAATCTTTTCTCTTTTGAATATTTAAGATTTTAGAAGCTCATTAAACTCTTTTTTTTTTGCCCACTGTGCTACAAATGCCCAATTGTTTACCATGTACTGCTATGTTTTTCTGCAAATCACAACTTATTTTACCTTATGTTCTTTAACTGGGTGCAAACCTCATGACATTTGCATTTTCCTGTGTATAAGTTATTGCCTTTTTTTTTGACTTGCTTCTTCATATACAGGTTTTCTCCCTCTCCTGATTAACCTCCCATCATTCTCTCTTTCACTTCCTTTCCCGCCCTCTTCCTCTTCTTCTCCTGCTCGTTGTTTCTTATGGCTGTCGTTAAAGAACCTCTTCACGTTTTTTTGTGTGTTTCACAGTGACCCCTACTGGGAGCGGCCGGCTAATGCGGGCAGCTGCTCCGCCGCCCGGCCCAAGACCCTTCACCTGGCCGGCCAGCAGCATACCTCCTCACCATGGTAACGTTTGTGTGCGCTCCTAGTAGCAGTAGTAGTAGAACTAGTAATAGTGGTAGTAGTGTGTGTGTGTGTGCAGTGTGAATGGTTTGCTAAACAGCTGCTTGTTGATTTGAAATAACTCTTCTCTTGTAATGTTGGTGCGACTAGTTCTGTTCTGTTTGGAGATATTTAGTGTTTTAACAGCCCAACATTTGGATGGTTTTCTTGCGTCTTTCTATGGAAGCATGTGCAACATTAAGATCAGCCCTAGTTTAGGTTAATCTCTGCATGTCAGTGGAACTCAAAGAAACTAATTTAAAATGTAGGGGAAGGGAGCCGTCACAATGACACTTATAGAAGAAGAATTGAGAATGCATTTAAATAGAAGCGAGGACAAATGATGACCTTTGACTCTTGTTGAGTTGTCTAATCCTGTCATTTTGTCTCTTCTGGAGTGTCCTTTACTTTCAAAAGGGTGTCCAAAGCCTTTAAACACCCAGAAGCTATAACTTGCTGCAGTATATTTTGATTGATCCTCGGTGCTTTTGTCATCTCTGACTTTTAATTGTCAAATAGTAGTTCTTATTCTGTACACCGTTATTTTAGTCATTAGCCTGATATGTTAAGTCTAGAATACGTTAAATACGTTAAACCTCGCTGGGTCTTCCGCTTTAGCTGCTTCTAAGCTGCTTAGATCGTGCATACAAATATTAATGTTTAAACTTAAGATCAAAATGTCAGTATGGACATGCTGCACATCGTTAGATCGGCATGGTAGAAGAGAAAATAGTGCTGACTCCCCGTTACCTTTGAAGCGCTCGTAAATCTGAATATGTCCGTTCCTTGATTATTATTATTCCTTTACTCTGTAAGGGTCCACCGATCAAAAAAAATCAAAGCAGCATTTGAAAAACAATTTATCCAAGTTATGATTCCTGTCATCTGTCTGCGAACTTCTGCCACACTCCTCTCATCCTGCACCCTGTTGTTGCATATGTTTTCGTTAGCTTGCTGCTTACAAAATTAAAGTGCATAAGCAGTCTGTCAGATATAGATCAAATGAATTAGTGTATTTGATATTATTTGAAATGAGATTTTTTATACAAGTAGTAATCATACTGCCCGAGGAAATCGGGTCGGCTGAGTCAGTGAACTCTTTTAAGTCCCTTCTTAAAACATACTTTTATAGGAGAGCCTTTCCCGATCTTATTTGACTTTATTTTATCCCTTTTTATTCTATTTTACTTAATTTATATTTATCTTAAACGTGTATTTTAGTCTTTTCAGTGTTTTCTTGCTTTTATCTTGTATTGTTTCTGTATTATTGTCTTTTGGGTATTATTGTCTTTACACTTGTTAAAGCACTTTGTAACTTGTTTTTGAAAAGTGCTCAACAAATAAAGATGATTATTATTATTATATATACTGTTTGAAATAAGTAAACTGTTTTCATAGTAGTTTCAGTTTTATGCAAAACTAATTGTAACTGCCATCGGTTTTTAAAAGCAAGATGCAGAGAGTCTCGACTGATGTCTTTACGGTTTCTTTATTTCTTTCATTTCCTCCTTATCCAAATACCGTGACACACCGTGAAAACTATAAAAATACACAAAATATACAAGCATAAGTACACATATTACTTTGAAAGAATCTTAAATCAAACATACAAAACCGTAAACCTAATTAAATACACAAATTAAACTACCATTACTCTATACCAATACACAATAACCTTTTAAAACATACAGTTAAATATTACATCGAGCTAAATGGCTCTTTGTCACTATTAGCCTACACATTACTAAAACAACGATAAACATGAACAACCTCACTCCCGCAGCCCCCCCCCAGACAAGATACATACCTCGTTCCACTTCCAAAGGGCGTTAAACTTAAGATTAGATGTTTCCTTTGTTTGGCTTTCTTACAATCTTCATAAGTCAGCGTCTGTTACGTGTGCTCCCTGTCTCCTTGCTCCACTATTTGTTTCTGGTTTGCGACAACCGTAAACCTGTAAATACGGGGTTTATCTACACTTAATTTAGCCCAGTGGCAGAAAATACACTGCCCACTGTTGGAAGTTGTCTGTCCATGTTTACCATAATCCTAATAAAAACATCCTTTACAAATACAAAAAATATATTGACAATCATTAAATCAATACACCTTGAAAGGACTCCAAGCGGACAGTTACAGTAATTAAAGGCCTGTCCCAAATATATAGGCAGGGTCATTTCAGTGATTTCAGCAATTAAAACCCCGGCTATTAATTAAAGTTTTACGGTAATATCGATCTGAAGTCCGTCTGTAGCTGCAGCAGAGTCGGGACTGTTTCATGGAGACTCTTGTCAATAAGTTGAATCGTTAACTGGACAGATGATGCAAACGTTTTGAGTGGACTAGCCGACGTTTCTCTATTTCTCTACACAGTCTATAAATCTGTAGGTCTGTAAATAAGACTGTCTGTCTATAAGTCTGTAAATCTTACCTTTTAATGTTATTTGACTGTAGGTGAAAATTATATGTTTGAACCTTTTGTAATGGAGGTATTTTCTAAGGTCATAACTCAATGTTGCACTTGTATTACATTTGCTGACCAGTTCAAACCGGTGATTCTTAAGTAACTAAATAGCGTGTTTAAGTTCTGTGTTATCGAGGCACCGCAGGAGATCTTTAGTGTTTTGAATTTCTTTGTGTGTGAAATTGTACGGTTATGTGTAAACCTTACGGCTCTGTTTGAGTTTCTTTATTTGAATGTGTGAGTTTACTGCATTTTGTGTGTGTGTGTGTGTCAGTATGGATTGCAGCTTTTGTAAGACGCTGCCATAAAATCGTATCGTTCCTCTTCAATCCGTCATCCCTCCCTCCTCTCTTTTTCTGTTTCTCGTCCTCTCTTCTACTCCCTCTTTCTGTAGCTCTCTCTTCTTTTCTCCCCTCACTCACTCTCCTCAGAGGTCCTTATCTGTGAACAAAGAGAAGATGGGATTTGACACCAGGAAGTGAACTGAAGCCTGATGCATTGTGGTAGATGTTGTGGTGCGTTTGTGTTCCCGTGTGTGTGTGTGTGTGTGGTGGATTACAGTACTGGAGAATAAAGGGGGGATTTGTGTCGGAGTCAGGCGGAGAGCTGAAAGGAGACGGCAGTTAATAGCTCATTATAGGACGAGCTTAACGCCATGTAGGCCATATAAACGCGCACACAGAGTCAGATTCTGCGGTATGGGGGGCAGTGCCCCCACAAATAGAAGTTTAATTTAATTGAAATTTCCGTGAGGAATAATACAAATATACATTTACAAACAGTTCATTAGTTGAAAACATATTAAAAATGACATAAAATTCACAGTGTGACTCTGTGTGGAAACGCCCCCTGCTTCCCCCCTCTCAACGCACTTGCACGTTAGTACGTACATAGAACGACTTTGAGTTAGCGGGAGATTCCTCGGGGCAGTGCACATATCAAAACAAAGCAAACAACTCAGAACGCTCCAAAATGGATATTAGAAAATGGTTCTTGACCCCAGCTGCTTCATCCACGCCAGTAAACCTGAATTCTGAAATGACTAAGTTCTACTACATCCACACGTCGATAAACGAGTCTGCTGACCCCATTCAGCAAGATAAAGACCGGTTATGCCGAGTTTTGCATGCCTGCTGAGAGTTGCATGCACCTCCAAAAACTGCTTTTAAATGCTTTAATATCCTTTTTGAGGTTCGTCAGTGGTGATAAATGAAACATATTTTATGAACGTTTAGAGTCGTTAATAATTTATTACTTTGTAGAAGTAGCGTTCTTTATGATTCGGCAAACATATGTGGTGATAACTGTGTTTTGATGAATGAGCACAACAAAGTGTCTGAAAAGGACCTTAAGAGGCGGATGAATAATTCGGCAGAACAGATGTTGGAGGCTACCTGCCGAGATTTGCATCCACCTCTTTTCTCAGCAGGAATTTGGCACAACACCTGCTAGTTCGTGGCTCTGCGGACACTAACATCGTTGTCTAAACATCACAAAACGCTAGGCCCACTGTGTTGACGGCACTCCAACTGGCCTTGGTATCCGGTGCTTCTACCGTGACGTGCGAAAATTCAACATTTCCAAGAAGTTCCAATCAGCTCACAAGCGGCGTCTTCAGCTCTTGTGAGTTGAATTTAATGTTTCGTGTAGGCCGGTTGTTAGTGTATTAATGTAACTGGTATTATGTAACCTTTTGTGCGTTGTCCATTTTCCCACCGTGGAGAAACAGCTGTTTTATTTACTTTTGATAATGGAGATTGTAGAATAATCTCTGTTTATGTTGTGAGTGTGTTCGATATTGTTTTGATAATGGTGCTTTTTTAGTAGTAGCCTAGTGTAAATGCTTTTGGTAGAGCAAACTATAATTAAGATGTGTGTCTCCTGTCAGTGAGATAGCCTGGCAGGTATGCATCATTTCAGGCTAATCACTTACAGAAACGGCAGTAGCAATAATAACTAGCCTATAGGATATTCCCCATCACTAGTGCCCACCATTTTAAGACAGATTACATACAATGCCAATATTTCTATAACTATCAGAGTTGAATATAGTCGTTCCTGTGTATAAAAATCAGTTTTCAACCAAGTCAAGTGCCGGTTTTACATTTTGCATCGCAGCAGGTCTGTTTTCATTACTGTCGAAGTTGAAAAGGTTGTGGAGAAACAAGAGAAGAGAGAAACAAGAAACAAGAGAATTACATGATACTAAAAGCAGGAGTCAGGAAGCAGGAGATTTCAGCTTCATGTTTGTAAAACTTTCTCCTTTTTTTAGGTTACAGATTTTAAATTAGTTTTGGATGTTTATAGTTTATCACAGCTTTGTCATATTTCTGTGGTAAGAATGTTTGTTTACAAGTGGGAATTTGTTTTGGAATAAAAGTGGGGTAAAATGAAGGATTTTATTGCCTCATGAAATAACATTGTTGCGTGTCTCATGAGATTAGAGAAGCTTGCAACAAACGCTCAGGCTAATAAATGCCTTCGGACAGACCTTTTTTGA